TAATCGGCAGGGATCCCAGACCAATACAATTAGTGTGCCTCCTCTATTTTAAAACCCACGAGCTGCCACTGTTAAGAGCTGGTCATATTTTTAGTATCTAATGCCAGGAGTGTTTTCCAGCTCATATCTGGGATTTAGGAGGATGTGATTGTGGATCTGAGGCGGTGAAGAAGTGAGAGAGAATAAGTGAAAGAATGTGACAATGGAGGGGTGGAAGGAGTGTGGCAGGTCAGGGCCTTTAAAAACATGCCCTAAAATTCCTGTTACAGGACTAATGTTTGCCCAGTAAAAGCAAAACACATATTGCGATTATCCACATTGGATTTCAATGTTGTTTGTTCTTCTATTAGATACAGGGCAGACTGTTTGAATTCGGGTCTTAGGTAGCTACTGTTGTACTAATAACTCACTTGGTGTTTTGAAGTTTCTTCTCGATCCATTTCAGATGTTGCTTAGCGGCAGCGTAGTCTTCTGGACCTTCAGGTTCAAGCCTGTCATAGGTGTTCCCACACAAAACCACCGTGTCAATCATCAGAACCATGATGGAAGTGTTGCTGTGAGGAACTTTGAAGTTCAGCTCGTAGTAGAGGTCTGGGTAGATCCTGCCAAACATTAACAGCAGCGCACTCTGTGGTCATGACTGAATGCCCATGTTTACATTCTTTAATACACAGAGCTTGACCTTTGACCTCACTCACCATCTTTCAGATCTATTTGAGTAAGCGATCTGGGCTGATATGTTTCCACGGTGATCGTGATTTCCTGCTACCAGGTACCACGGCACGGCCATCAGCGCGGGGTGAGAGAACACACTCTCATAGGTAGACTAAAGAATAGGTCTTCATTAAAACTTCAAAACATAATTTTAAAATATAAAATATTACACATATATATTAACATGATTCAATTATTACTATTATAGTATATTAGTAAAATATGAATAAATGTGCATTATATAATTAGAACTTAATATATATAACTTAAATATATACAGTATATATATATATATTAGAACTTGAAAACAACATTTTAAACTATATATTTTAAATAATAATTTTTTTTTAATTAATTATATTTTTTATTAATAAACATACATTATGTAATTAAGTTATTTTACATAAAACTGACCATGGTTTTACTATGGTAACTGTGGCACAAATGTTACAGATTCATACAAAAGAATTAAAAGAAAAGTACTATGAAAGTGAAAGTGAATGTTATGAGTCCGACTCTCTAACCATTAGGCCACGACTTCCCCATGGTATATATATATTTTTTTTTTTGCATTAATTTGGAATACCTTGTAAATACCATTGTACTTGAATTTGAGTACCATGGTATTACCAAATGATACCATCACAGTACTTTTTTGTAAGAGATGTAAATACTTATGGTATCATTAAATATCATGGTACAAAATACATCAAAGCACTATGCATTACCATCTGGACCCTCAATATAGCATGTTACTTTTTGTAATGTAATGTAAAAACAAAAAAAATTAATTTAATTTACTGTGTTTAGGCTTTTAATAACAATTATCATAACTACATTGATCTAAATATGGTGATGAGGAGCCATCCTTGGTTTTACTTTTGATTACTACAAATGGAACAGGTAAACCATATAAATATTCCATCAAATAAAATACTGTACCTTGATACTTTTTATTTTATTTCATTTCATTTTATTTTTTAACTTAATTTTATTTTATAAAAAATGTATTTATTTAAAGCGGTCATATGATGCGATTTCAATTAAATAATGTTCTTTTTAGCAACGTCATATGACCCCTTTAAAAATAGTGATGACTGATGAGGAGTAATCCAGTTTTACTTGTGAATAAGGCAAAAGCTTTACTGCATTCTGTTCTTCTGCCACTAGAGGGACCAATTCATCTGTCATACTAACTATATCAGATGATCAGAGAGTGTAAAGACAGTTCACTGAGCTGAAGTACCCTGTGCACACTATCACTGTCTGCTCTCTAACCTGTCTGATCCTGGTTACATCATCAAACTTTGATGCTGTACTGCTAGCTGTACATGTTAACCTGAGAAAACCCTACTTTTTGCATAACAGATCCCTCAAAAAGTTTTGAGCAAATTTCACAAAATAAAGTGCGTGCATCCGTAATAAAACATCCCTCACACGGCTCCGGGTGATAAAGGCCTCCTGTAGCGAATCCATGCATTTTTGTAAGATAAATATCCATATTGCAAACGTAATAAACACTTTTTTCTCACTTCCGCTGACTGTCGTACAGACGTTCAGGCGGATGACGTAGCACATATGCGTCCTGTGCGCGCCTCTGAGAAATGCAGGAGCAAAGGAAACAAAGTTTCCTTACTTTAGCAAAGAAAACCAGTCTCCTCTTGGCTTATATCGAAATCCTCCGACATTTTGTTTTGCAAATCTTCATTTTGTGCTTCTAATTCGTGAACGCGTTTTCTTTTGTTTCGTCTCCGTGTTCATCACTTATCACACAACGTCGACATCTTGCGTCATCCGCCGAAACGGCTTCCGCGTACGACAGTCAGCGGAAGTGAGAAAAAAGTGTTTATTACATTTGAAATATCTGAAAGAAGAAAGTCACATACACCTAGGATGCTTTGAGGGTGAGTAAAATACAGGCTAATTTTCATTTTTGGGTGAACTAACCCTTTAAGAAAGAAATTTAGGAGAAGATGAATCAGTTCTCAAGTGACTTAACCTGGTGATCACCTTAAACCGGTTGTCATCTACATCCCTGACCCCTCTGAAGTAGAAATGATCTCCAAGACTGAGGACAAAGTCCAGACCTGAGCTCTTAGCGATTCTGCCCAGTTCATTGGCCGTGTCGAACTCATGCGGCGTGTAGTAGGGGTACATAGGAAGTCCACCCCAGTCTCCAATCCCAACAAACTTCAGAGAAGCTGAAGAGAAACAAAACATGCAGACATAGATTTTATATCAATGCACATTCAACTGACTCAAAGTCAACCAATTTCACATTTGATCACATGAAAACTTCTTACTGAACCAGTTTGTCTGCACTAGTAATCATGTGGCTGTTTCCTGATATTTTAACGTTTGCAGTCATACAGATCATTAAGAAAATACATCAGAAATACTCTACCTTGTTCATTCGCCTGACGTGTTGTGTAGACTGTCTGAAGGCAGGAGATAAGAAGGAAGGCCAGCCACGCCATATCATGCCTTCAGATGGCTGATCTGATCCTGCAAACGGTCACAGTGTAAAAGTGAAGTTACAGGTTTGAGAGTCACAAAGACACTGACAAGCCACAAACAGCTTAACACTCAATTCTCTGCACCTAAAGGGAAACTACATGTGGTTTATGACAAGCTTCCTGTACTGAGCCCAGAGTGAAAGAATGAAGCACATGATGGCCAACGATCACCAGTTTACAAAGTAAACAAATGAATGTTATTATCGGCTATCAGAAAAAAAGAGATTAGAAATACACCACCACCACTATACTACAATATTAATTGTTGATGTTAATTAGAATAATTTTATAATCCGTTTTAATTGTTATTTTTTTTTTAATAACATGATCAGCTACCAAAAGTGTTCATAAAATATAATTAACAATAATTAAATAATTATATAATTATTAAATGATATAAAACATTATTTAAAATTGTAAAAAATAATAATTGTATAGTATTTTGTTTAATTATAATTTATAATAATTGTAATATCATGTTCGTATGATCTATCTAATGAGCTTATAGTTATAACAAAGCAAAAGTGCTTAATAATAATAATAACAATAGTTTAATATTTTTAAGTTTAATTATATTATAATTTATAATTATTTTGAATAATAATCTTATTATCAGTTATAAACAAGAGTAATTAATAATAATAATAATAAAGTTATATTAATCATATGAAGTTATCTTTTATTTTCTATATTATTTTAATTAGAATTTAAAATAAAAAAAATAATATTCAATATTTTACACATTTTTTCAAAATGTTTTTCTGTGTGTTACTATGACAGCCACAGTTGATCTGTACTAACATATTCATTTAAAATTCTGTATAGTGATCTATTGGTAATATGCCAACCCTTATCAAGCAGATATGTGGTTTATACGGCTCTAGTTAGCGTTTACAGTGGAAGCTCTCCAGCAGATCTCATAAATCATTAACTTACACTGGATAGCAAGTCATGCACAGTCTACACTACAAATCAAATGCAGTCTTTTATGCGGTACCAGTGTGCAGTTATGGTATCAGATGGTAATACCATGCTACTTTGATATATATCATGGTACTAAATGATTACTATATACACTACCGGTCAAAAGAATGATTTCTGAAGGATCATGTGACACTGAAGACTTGATTTACGACTGCTGAAAATTCAGCTTTGCCATCACATTAAAACATATTCAAATAGAATTTCAAGTATTTTTCATCAAATAAATGCAGCCTTGGTGAGCATAAGAGATTTATTTCAAAAACATAAAAAATATTAATTTTTCCAAACTTTTGACTGGTAGTCTTCATGTGCAGTGCTGTTTGCATGGTAACATCATAGTACTTAGTACTTTTAAACCAAAAAAATGAGATGGATTGTAATTTGAAACACAGTATAGTGAATCAGGTAAATCCAAAATATCAAATGGATTTTCTCAAATCACGTTTGACCAAAAGTGCATCCGAGTTTGTGTTTTACCACCTTTGGCCAGGAACAGGTGACTAGAGGCACATTAAAAATACATTGCCATGTGGAGGGTGAAAGGTCAACGGATTGTCTAATCTAAATGACCTTTCACTTACATTTGATGTGTGTTAAAGATCAACATTCATCTTTTTTATTTTTTATTTTTTATTTCCTAAAGTAACCAGTTTCATAATGTGCGATAAACCAGTCCAACTGAATTCACACACACACACACACACACACACACAAAATCATCAACACAATCTATAACCATTTCTTCGAGATAAAAAAAAGACCACTAACAGACTACTATAAGTAGTATCAATATCTCCTTTTTTTAATGAAAACATACAGCAAAGTGGTTCATTTGCTTAATGTGTGAAGTGCTACGACAATATTTCTTACAGTTTACATAACCGTTCCAGATTCCTTCCACATCAAGAAATGCCAACAATGCTGGAGTAAACAAGTGCATAGGCAACTTCTCATCGATTACAGACACCGAACGGTTATACAAGGCTCCCTGGTTGTCCAAATTACCATACCATGTAAAGTGCACCAAAAAACAACTCGCACACATCCAGACCACCCAACCACGCTGCAGTGAGCACGAAAGGCCACTTAGTAGCTTAAAGAAAGGTTTAGCTGATGAGAAAAAGGCAATATTAGATCATTATTGTGTATCTAGCATATTAAACGCTCAGTTCAGTCCAGTGCCATCGATTTGTGTGCACCTATACAGACCAATTTCATTTATTAACAAATTAGTGCACAGACTCAAGACGTATTTCCTTGGTACACGCACCCACGCATACTTAACGGATGTCTTATAAATTGAACTGCTTAAATTACAAAATTATATACAATCACTAAGGACAAAAGTAGCGTTAATAAATCTCTAAACACAATTTCATCCCAAAAAGGTTATAGATGATTAAAAACAAACTCCCTAGGTTGGCAGGCGACTACTTAAAGGGAAAGTTCACTCAAAAATTTAAATTCTGTCATCACTTTCTCACCCTCAAGTTGTTCTAAACTTTTACGAGATTCTGTCTTTTGTTGAACATTTGAGAAGATCTTTTGAAGAATGTTTGTAACTAAGTTGATGGTCTTCATTGACTTCCATACTATGGAAGCCAATGGCTACAATCAAATGTTACCTTATTTTGCTTTCATCGGAAGAAAGAGTAAATGATGACAGAACTTTCATTTCTGGGTGAACTATCACTTTAAGAAGTGAACAGTTAGGGGCCATCACTAGGGCTGCTGATAGTATAGTGCAGTTGTTTTTCCTCTAAGAGCCGAACTCCACAGTTTCAGAGGTGATGGGTTTGAATTCGTAGTTTCCTCTTCCATCCATATGGAGGTAGTACTGAAAAGAAGAAAGGGCATTTTGAAAGTGCTTAAGCATATGGCAAATGTCGGTAAATATTGATGATGGGGAAGCAGCGCTGATCTCACCTTGTGATGCTTCCACAGGGACTTTCTGTGAGAGACTGTGAACAGGGTGATGCCAACCTGCCGAACAAGAACAATAAACCACACATTCAGAGAAACTTTAGCAAAATGTACAGTAATACAATGGGAAAATCTGTGTGTTGTGAGGTTCAGGCACCTTTCTGCAGTGACTGTAGATGTAATCCTCTACGTCTACGCTCACAGCACTGGTGCACTCATCCAGGATGGCAAACTGGGGTTTATGGTAGAAGAGTCTGGCCATCTATGGGAAAAACCATCATTTTATAAACCTATAAACATCTAGGAATTTCAACATCATTTGAACATTTCCAGTATTATTGTAGGTCCAAAGAACTCTTTATACATGTTAGAAAAACTCTGACATCTCCCACCTGACTGCTAAACAAACAAAGCACAAACAAAGTACAAATTAAATAGACATTTTCTGAGTCCATGGATGGGAAATCTTCTTATAACTATGGTAATTCTGATGATTCCAACTTGATGTGACTCAGTCTAAGTGCAGTAGTGTCATGGTACTGTCAATCTGGGCTTTAACACAAATTGTGAAGTGGTTCAAAAACAGGATGTTAACAAGACAACAATATAGCCCTTATCAGTGCCTTTGACTTCTGTTCAGAGAATTGTCCCTGCAGTTACTGTTAGTAGTCACTTTGCATTACTGTACAGGACTTTCTTTGTGGTTGTTAAAAATGTCTGTTTACCGCCATTCTCTGCTTCTCTCCTCCACTGAGCACATCCATCCAGTCCTGAACCATGTCCCACGACCCCTCTCTTTCCAAAATGTGACCTAACTGGACATTATCCAGGTATTCCTTCAGCACCTGCCACACAAAACAGGTTGATGGAATGAAAATGGATTATTATAAAATAAATATAGGTGATCTGCACATGTTACAGACTTTTTAGAACATTTCAGATCTTAAAAACTAGTTTATAGTACCTGGTCAGAGATGCCTTTCTTCTTTTGGTCCTCATGGGTGTCTGGGTAGATCACCTGATCCCTCAGTGTGCCGAGGGTCATGTAAGGCCTCTGAAAACAGACAAAAAAAGGCAAGTTATTCAGCTGTTGTGGACGATTCAGATGTTCTGCCATCGGTAAAGTGGGTTTTGTTCTATAAAAATCTGTTTAAAGTTTCACCTGAGGGACGTAGAAGAGCTTCCCCCTCTCTGGTTTCGTCAAACTCCCACCAAACAGCGGCCATAACTAGAGAGAGTACGAAAACCCAACATTTAGCAGATAAAATGGAAGAATTTTTACAGGGAACTAAGAACAAGGGCAGAATTCCAGTCTAAGAATCGCAGACATGCTCACCTCTCCAAGAACCCGAAAAAGTGAACTCTTTCCGCACCCATTGGGACCACACACCAAAACATTGGCTCCGGATTTCACCTTTGAAGAGCACACGCATTAACTGTACAAACATTCCACCCCTGACTAAAAAGTAAACAAGGTTACTGTGAAATAAAATGTTTAAATAATACGCAACAAAGTCACAATTACAAGAAAAAAAAGAGAAAAAGTTGTAAATGAGATATAAAAAAAAAAAATCACACTACAAGAAACAAAGTTGTAATAATGAAAAACAAAGTCACAATTTCGAGATATAAGGTTGCAATTTTGAACAAATTTTAAACGTGGGATATGAAATCATATTGTGAAAGTCACAATTACAAGAAAAATGTTGCAAATGTGAGATAATTGCTGTGAGAAAAAGTTCTAGTAATGAAAAACAAAGTCACAAAGAAACAAAGTCGCAGTTATGAAAAACACAATTATGTGAAACAAAGTCACAATTTCGAGATATAAGGTTGCAATTTTGAAAAAATTTTAAACGTGGGATATGAAATCATATTGTGAAAGTCACAATTACAAGAAAAATGTTGCAAATGTGAGATAATAATTGCTGTGAGAAAAAGTTCTAGTAATGAAAAACAAAGTCACAAAGAAACAAAGTCCCAGTTATGAAAAACACAATTATGTGAAACAAAGTCACAATTATTATAGAAAGATACAAATATGAGATATGAAATCACACTACAAGAAACTAAGTTGCAATAGGGTAAACAAAATCATAACTGCGTTACGTCGCAATTTTGATAAACAATTGCATGATGTAAAAAGATGTAAAACATGAGCAGCAACAATGTTGCAACTGCAAGAAATAAAGTAGCTATTCTGAAAAACTTTAAGATGGAAAGATATAAAAGGTGAAAAGATATAAGGGACAAAATTGTGAGATATTAAGAATTTCGGTTTCATTTCTTGCCACTGTACCGACAATCGATTTGTAGAAATAATGTGAAACACACCTCAAAACACAGATCTCTAATCAGAATATCTCCATTAGGTGTAGCCAGGGGCGTGTGATCGAACCTGATGAGAAATTACATAAGCATCGTTGGTTCTCCTAACAGTGAAGCACTCAATCTGAGATTAAGGACTGAAGGAAGCTGCTCTTACTTGATGATATTGTCTACATTGATGATTCTTCCACTTCCAGGTATCAGTGTGAGCTTTTCTGTAGCATCTGTTTATAAAAAAAAAAAATTCAACTACGTAGCTCTTTGAAGTTTGTTTTGGACCTTAAGAGTCTCTGAAGCTCACCTTTCTCTGACAGAGACACCATGGTGCGTTCGTATTTCCCAGAATTCAGCTCGTTCAGGACCTTCATGAGCTCAGTGATGCGTGTGGTGAAGCTGAAGGGAAAAACAAACTCATTTTATAGCATCAAATGTACCAAGTTTTTAATTAAATGGCAAGTAACCAGATAACTTAATTGCACATGCTGGTGCACTGTGATGAGGATATATGAACTTTTACCCTGACAGACGCGTCATTTCTCTGCCGGCAAGAACGATTCTGCCCAACGCCTGTGACATACGCAGCAGCATTCGGCCGCTCTGGTAGTAGTCCTGCAGGAGAACATGTCAAGATGAATAATCCTGCCCCGTCTCTCATTATTCCACATGAACATTCAGTTTTGCTCAGAAATGTCACATTACCGAATTTAAATGCATTGTGAAAGCAACTGAGGACCACTAACTAGGAATAATCACAACATCAGGAGTGAAGTTTTACCTCCAGCAGTTCAGCGTGTGAGCTGTTCAGGTGTCGAGGGTGAGACAAATCAAGGAAAGGACGACTGACGACTAAATACCCAACAACGGTAGCGAAATCTGGAACAAGAGAGAACAAATTACTCATCTTTTACTGCCCATGATCATGCATATTTTATTTAGGGAGATAATGAAACATCCTCTTACACTTGGCAATAATGCTATCCACCATTCCCATGGAGAAACGGAAGAAGATGAAATTGTGCAGATGATCGACCTGCAAACAAACTCAGCTAATAAACTCAGATGCAAACCTATATTACATATGTGACCCTGGACCACAAAACCAGTCTTAAGTCGCTGGGGTATATTTGTAGCAATAGCCAAAAATACATTGTATGGGTCAAAATTATTGATTTTTCTTTTATGCCAAAAATCATTAGGATATTAAGTAAAGATCATGTTCCATAAAGATATTTTGTAAATGTCCTACTGTAAATATATCGAAACTTAATTTTTGATTAGTAATATGCATTGCTAAGTACTTCATTTGGACAACTTTAAAGGCGATTTTTTCAATATTTAGATTTTTTTGCACCCTCAGATTCCAGATTTTCAAATAGTTGTATCTCGGTCAAATATTGTCCTGTCAATGGAAAGCTGATTTATTCAGCTTTGAGATGGTGTATAAATCTCAATTTCAAAAAATTGACCCTTATGACTGGTTTTGTGGTCGAGGGTCACATATATATTTTAGATTATTGGCCCATATTAGAATGTTAGATATTTAATTGTTTATGCGCATGTTTTTCTATTACCTTTAATACCTTAATTACCTTTAATTTCATCTACTTTTGATACCTTTTTAGAATACCCTTACCACAAAATTAACAAAGAAAACATTAATAATTTAATAACACTGTTAAATGTCATCAAAATATTAATTTGTCATACTGTACATTGTAATGTTGTAATGCCTAAATACACTTGCAATTTAAAATTACTAATTTGAGTCTAGTTTTATTTTTATTTGATTTAGGTAAAATAGTATACATTTTAATTTATCAGCAACAATATAAAAATAATAATATTTGGCTTTCTGTATTTCATCAGTAAATACTGATGCAACCCTTTGATAATAACAACTCACATTTGTTTGGTCACATACTCACCAGTTTCTTGAAGGTTGAATGAATTGTCTGTTTCTCCCTTACGTTTCCATTGTAGAAGGCAATCTCTTCACTGACAATGAAATAAAAACATAAAACATTTGAGTATGCATCAACATTTGAGAAAAACAAAATTATATTACCATAGAACTACACTGCTAGATAGATACAAGTACCTGTTTGTGATGAGACGAGAGTTGACATATCGGTATTCTCCTTCATACTTCTGTTCAGTCACTGTCATCTTACCGATCGGCCTGCGCAGACGGGTCAGGAAGAGGCCGGAGATCAGCAGGTAGGTCATCATAGTGGCGGGACCCTGTGCAAAGAGACCAACAGATTCTCAAAATGTCCAATGACACTGATCTACAGTAGATTTTCACGATGTCTTTCACACTCACCTGAGCACCGATCGCTGTTGTTAATTTGAAAATGTATAAACCGATATCCAACAGGGGCTGGAGGGGGGAATGCAAGAAAAACTCAGCAAATGCTGTTCATTTGAAGAAAAGAAACATCTGCTTTTATTGTGAAAGTACAATGGGTATTTTGGACAAAGGGCTTTCATACCTTGCTGAGGTTGGAGTAAAGATCCACCACACTGTTACAGAACTTTTCCACATCCTGCGTCAGCAGCTGATCAGCGTTAGCAATGCGGTTATCCAGGTTTCCCATTTTGTAGTATGTATAACCCCTGTGAACCCAAAGATAGTGACACTAGTAACTAGACTTTTACATTTTCTTCAAAAAGAATCACATTTCAAAGCAAATTCACAAATTCAGCAAATTCACAATTTTAATTACACTTCAATCATGACAACTCTCGGAAGATATTAGCATGGTGATGGATATGCTGCACAAATAGCATATAAAATAACCCATAGCAGATCTATACAGGTGGAGCTGGGGAAAGTGGAGGGTTTCAGAGAAACTCTGAAAGCGCGCTGCAGGAATCTCAAGTGAATGCTAGCCAGCCATATAAATGCAGGCAGTAAGCTCATTGGCTGCATATGCAGCATGAATCAATCAGCTTGTGCCAAGTCGTTTAACTCTCTGAATATCATCGGTTACGTTAACAACCAGTCGCCTGCGCCATCTAGAGTTTCATGACTGAACTATATATTTAATATAAAAAAATTTTTAAATAACAATACATATCTTTCATATATATTTTCATTAAAGATTACCTTTGTACATAGTGCTCAGTTATTATTTTTTAAGACTAAAATTTTAATTTAATCTTCAGCAGATCTGAAGTCTTACACACTTGCAATTCTACATGTAGCGATGCCTACATTTAAAATAATAAATTAAAAATAATATATTTTTTTAAATAATACATTTTGTACACAAAATTATTTCAAATTTTAATATTAGCCATTTAACTGAATTTTAATGTCAATGCATCCATTTTAATAATTCGTATTTTAGTACATTATAACAAACGCCTGTATGAACAATATAATAGTAATGCTTGTTTTTGTTAAAATGCTCAGCATTTTACTGAGAACTTGTGAAGAATATTTCAGTTGGAATAATGTCATGGCAGTGATGGGCCGTACTTCAGGTACTCATCGTAGAGATGTTTGGTAAGTCGCACGCGAAAGCACAGCTTCAGTTCATTTAGGCCCAACTTCAGGAAGCTGTTCACCAGAGCGATCTGAAAGATTGAGATGCAACCATTTACAAATCTGGATGTTTTCATAGCAACAACATCAAACAATTCTTCCATGCTGAACTCTTACTGCTATTAAACAAACACATTCTAGCCTCAGAAATGATTCTATGTCAACAGGAGGCACATATTAGGTGGTTATTTGGAAGTTTTAGTTTTAATTTCATAGATTAGACAGTTAATAATCTCAGAACTCCTCTGACTATTAACAATTACTACCAACTTTGATAAAAAGCAGAAACTTACAACTGGCATGGCCGTGATAAAGTTGAATAAGTACTTCTTGAAACCTTTAGTGGATCGACCAATGATCGCACTGCAAACCACAACATGCACACAAACACATGCAAGCATGGTCAGAGTTAATACAGAAGGGAATAAACACACATCCCGCTGGCCTGTCCTTCATGTGCATGAAAAAATGAATGCAAATTATTTCAGAGGAAGCGCACATTCACAGTTACATTAACAAAACACAAATGTGCATTTAAACTGCAGACCAGAGGAGATCTGAGAGGTGAGCATGTGAGGAAACACAATGGACTGGTTCAGTGATGTAAATCACGACACATCAGTAACGATACATTAGCTTTCACAGCACATGAAGATACAGTAAATTACCCCAGGAATGACAGTCAGGTAGGAATAAAAGTGCCTCTTGAATAGTTTGATATCTCTGCTAATGATTCCACTGTCAAAGATTTAAAAAATACAATCAAATCGCATTAAATCAATATTTAACTAGGTGCTTGGTGTATTTACAAAGTGTAATAGTGTTAAATTTCCCCGCACTAACAAATTTGAAGTCTACATCCATACGGTACCTTTCAATCATAGTGCCGTTCTGAATCATCCAGACGTCACAATAGGTCCGAGTCACAAGCATCACTGCGATCAGGAACAGGTACCATGTCTGTGACATACAAAAAAAAAAAATAAAAATTATGTGAAAAACAATGAGCTGAAATGCTTCACTTTTATTTTGCAGATATACATGCACAATATCTTTCAAAAGTTTGGAGTCTGTAAGTTTTTATGTTTTAGAAAGAGGTTTCTTATGCTCACCAAGGCTGCAATTATTTGATCAAAAATACAGTATGAACATTAATATTGTGAAATATTATTATTATTTAAAATAGCTGTTTTCATTTTGAATATGCTTTCATTTCATTTAATTTAAGAATTTAATTAAATGTATTTCTCTGATGGCAAAGCTGAATTTTCAGCATCATTACTCCAGTCTTCAGTGTTACATGATCCTTCGGAAATCATTCTAATATGCTGATATGCTACTAAACAAATATTTCTAATTATTATCAATGTTGAAAACAGTTGTGCTGCTTAATGTTTTTGTGGAAACTGCAATAAAAAATTTTTTTCTTTGATGAACAAAGTTTAAAAGAATATCATTTATTTGAAGTGCATTTTTTGTAACAATGTAAAAGTCTTACAGACACTTTTGATCAATTTAATGCATTGCTAAATTAAAAAATAATAATAATTAAAAAAATATATCTTAATGACCCCAAACTTTTGAATGGTAGTATATAAAATGTGTATCGTTTCAGTTCGGAAAAAATATGCAGAAAAAATGCACTCTGACTAGCAACACCAAGAAAATCATGTTCTTGGTTACGACATAAATTAAAGGTGATTGGCTATTTAAAAATAGGGAAACCTTCAATTTATGCCTCACCCCAACTTCCTGTTCCAGCAAGAACTCACATGAAGCCAGTTCTCACCTCTTTGCAGAATAATCTTGGCACCATAATCCTGACGATCCGTGAGATCCGGATGAAAAAGAGCTTGTCCACAGCAGCTCTGTCTTTCTTGCCATCTTTCTGTTGGTTTTAAAACACAAGAATTGTTGAAAGTCAAAGGAAACTTATGGAATATAGCGTCACACGGCCAGACTAACTAAATAGTCTTATATATTACATGTATGCATCTGACATTACATTAAAGCAACTTCCACTGCATTCAGTGTATACAGTTTTTATCAGTTCATGCAGAGATCGATCAACACATTTCTCTTACGTCACTGCTCAGATCATTTGAAGAACCCTTCTTCCTGTTGAGGATGATGAAATAAATCTATATTAATAATAATTACAGTACGTCCAATAACATTCAGTATGAAGCATTACATTGCAGTTTTTCTGTCATAAGTGTGCTTGATGCTGAATCCCAAATTAAGAGAGTTCAAGGTGCAAGTATGAATCATTCTTGACTATCACTCTTGGGTATAGCATTTTTGAATGCAAACTGTGGCGACATTTGCCCAACTAACACTGTCCTCTATGAAAGAGTCCATTGTTGGACAGTGAGACTGCAAGCTCAAGATATAGGATGTGTCTCAAAACCTAGTGAGGTGCCTACCTAGACTAGACAGCTCATTAGGTTTTGACACATGACCATAATGTTGGCCAGGACTCATTTTGAGTTGAACCGGGGTCACTCTGACACTAAACTCCATTTGTGAACTTATTTCACGCATTAGGTACTTTATGTGTGTTCCCACATACCTGTTCAGTCCAGCGGATTTTCGTCTCTGCTTCAGGAAGTATAAAACGAGTAGGATACCGCCAGCCACAGCGGAGTTCTTGGTTGTCAAGTACTTGCTGACGGCCGCCATGTTTCTTACTGAGACCGGCGTACTCATGACCTCATCATCACACCATCATCACGGACCTGCGTTGTGTTTATTAACCCTTTAGGAAACAACCATACAAATAATCACTTTAAATAAAATACACGGAAGGAAAAGCCTATTATATCAACCATGTTGAAGTAAAACAAGTAACACGTTCCATTTATTATTTATAAATTAAATATTCTTATTCTCTTTATTAGACCGTCTTACTAGCATATTGTACCTTTACGACTTTGCCTAGAGTTCCCCCTAGAGTTTGAAATACTACGTATGGAGGTCGATTTTTATGCTTCAAAAACATCGCAAAAATACAACAATACAGAACTAGGCTACTACTACTACTACATAGCTTTCTGTTTCTTTGAAAGCAACAGAGAATTTTTTTTCTTAGGTATTTTGTTGGAAAATTTACATTAATGTATGTGAAATTTAACTTATAGAATTATCAGATTTATTACACGCGCCTCGTTTTTAATATTTTTTATCATAATTCTACAAGATAACAATTTTAAAAAATACAATAAAAACAAACTTATGGACATAATAAAATGCTACTACAATAACAGTTCAGTTGTCGTTCTTGCAAGGTATTTTTTTACTTTATAAATACAATTTTAAAAATTAATTTTCATTTTGTACAAAAATTACAACTTTATTTTGACATTGTCTTAGTTTATTGTCTGCATGATTAGCTTGACATTTTCTCTTGGAATTGCAATGTAAATTTCATCGAAATAAACTAAGTAAAATAAGTTTAAAATGGAAGTTGATTTGAATAAAGTATGTTTTTAGGGAAAATATATATATTTCAAAAACAATTTGCTGTATAAAGACTGCTATATAAGCACAAATTAACCGTACAGGGTCGTACAAAAAACGCTCCAATTTTATTTTACTTACTATCTTACATTATGTCACGTGCATTGGTAACAAGGTAAAACTGAGGTCAATTCGATCGACAACACATATAAAACACATATTAGACACATAAAACGTTGCTGGTTTTATTGTATGTCATTTTATTTAACATCAACAACTAATTATAAGAAATCCAAATATAAAAATACACATTTTAATCAAAACTGCTCGGCAGCATTGATGCGCGCTCGCGCACTGCCGCCCGATTTTTGAATAAATCCTTCCACAGCATATTTTTTCAGATTAGAAAAGAGTCGCTAATTGCAACTCTTAATATTGAGGGGACAGTCACTAATAATCCTCAGGCAATTGCACATTTCTGCGCTAAGTTTTACAGTAAATTGTATTAAAAAAAAAATTCTGAAGAGGCAGCCCGTACTTTTCTGGAGTCTGTTAAAGATTGTAAGACTATCTCTAGAGATGACAGAAATCTCTGATAGTGAAATTACTTTATCTGAAGTTAGTAACTCAATTCTAGAACTTAAAAACAATAAATCTCAGGGAACGGACTGGCTTACTGCAGAGTTCTATAAACAGTTCTCTAAAGAATTGTCTCCTTTTTTACTTAAAGGTCCCCTGAAATGCTTAGAAACACGCAGCTCTATGTGTTGACGTCATTTTAACTGAAACAGGAAGACAGGGCGGGACATATCAAGCAGCCCCGCCCCCTTTTTAAAATAGCCAATAGCGTTCGTTTATATCACAGCTTGGGCTAGAGCCGTTCAGAGCCGTTAGGCTCCGTAAAGCCGCATTTGACAGGGTATGCCAGCCACAATCTCATCCATATTGCTATAAAATATAGCATTCTGTGTAGAATTCAAATAGCTCCGATACATTTTGTGGTCTGCGCTGACTCG